GCCAAGATAAAGGAGCACATGAAGATCACAAAGTCTGCAGGTGCTTCATCTATCAGGTATTGCCAGAACAGGGTGCTGGCAAAAGTGGAAACTTTGCTGGTGAGTTATTTGGTGCGTCAGGCGCGACGCAACATGGCGGTGGACACGCGCTCAGTGCAGGAGTACGCACGTGAGCTATACGCAGCAGTGACACGTAAACTGGGAATTGCAGAGCCCAAACCCTTCAATGCTTCCCATGGTTGGCTGCATAGGTTTAAGAGGAGGAACAAGGTCACCAACATCAGCATTGTTGGTGAGGAAGCGAGTGCTGACCGTGCGGCGGCTAGAGATTTTCCTCCGTTTTTACGTGAGATTATGGAGGAAGGACAGTACAGTGACGACCAGGTGTTTAACATGGACGAATCTGGTCTTTTCTGGAAAAAGTTACCTTCCAAGACCTTCGTTGTCCAGTCTGCGAGCAAGGTAAGGGGCCGGAAGATGCAGAAGGAACGCATCACCGTCCTGTTTACCACCAATGCCTCCGGTACCTGTAAACCAAAGTTATCGGTGATTCACAAAGCCCGCAAGCCGCACGCCTACAAGAATATGGACATGAACAAGCTTAATGTCCACTGGCTAACCGCACGTAAGGCGTGGATGTCCTCTTCTGGTTTGACAACTGTTTTGTTCCTGACGTGCAGAAATTCTGCGAGCAACAGAATGTTCCTTTCAATATTTTGTTGCTCCTTGACAACGCACCTGGACACTCGCCCCTACTTATGGATCGTCACCCCAACGTAAAAGTGGTCTTCCTTTCTCCCAACACTACGTCATTAATCCAGCCCATGGACCAGGAGTTAATCTGCAATGTTAAAGCTGCATACTCGGCAAAGAAATTCAAGCTCCTGAACGACTCTACCAACACCAAGGATGAGTTGCGTAAGCTGGGTGACACCGACAGCGAGAGTAAAAGCGACGAGGACAAGGAACAAGAGGCGGCGACTCAAGAACTTCTCGTCAAACAATTTTGGAAGAAGTTTAACGTCAAACAAGCTGTAGACTTCTTGGTGGAGGCATGGGATCTGCTGACTATTGCTACGATTCGTCACGCATGGAGACATGTGTTGCATGGCATACCAGGTGAGAGGAGGAGTGAACCTGTGACTGGTCAGGTTCAGACTGTTGCAGTAGCAGTGGACCTTGCCAGAGAAGCTGCGCTCAGTATTACAGCTGAAGGCTTCTCCGAGACCACCAACGAAGACATCATGGAGGTGATCAGAGATCCTGAAGTGACTGCCGACGAGATGTTGGAAGAAGAACCCGCCAGTGAAGAGGAGGAAGAAGGTGCGTCATTCTCCGAAGAACCTAGTTTAAGTCATAGTGATATTAAGTGTCTCATAGAGTTAACAGAAAAAATTAAGTCCATCGTTTCCCGCGACACTGACGATGAACGCCATGACGTCTTCCATACCCGACTGGTGCAGGCTATGGAGCCGTACATCACGGTGTATCATGACAACATCAAAGCCAGCCGTCAGCAAAGCATAACCGAGTTCTTCGCCCGCAACCCACCACAGCCAGCCCAAGCCAGTGATAGTGATAGTGAAGTTGATTTTGAGGGATTTGTCAGGGAAGCCATGACAACTGTAAGTGACAGTGATATTGATTCACCTAGTAATGGTGATTCACCTAGTAATGGTGATTCACCTGAGGGGCAGTAATCTGCCCTCTGCCTCGGAACCAGCCTCCATCCCCGTATGCCGACCCATCTCTTCTACTACCGTGAGTGTTCCTCAAAAATTTTCGTTTTTTAACCTATTCTTTATTTTTCCTATGTTAACCTTTATCTTTCCTAACCTAACCTCTTCTATATTACTTGTTTTTCATGCCACCATAAAGTTAAGATAGAATTTTTACTACAACATAGTTATTTGTCGTCAAAAAGTGGAGTTTGGGGGTCGGGCTGGGTTCTATTGGAATTAATCCCATATGTTCTGTTATTCACTTAACGCGGTTTTCACTTAACGCGGGACCCTCTGGGTTCAATTGACCGCGTTAAGTGGGGTACAACTGTATATATATATATATATATATATATATATATATATATATATATATATATATATATATATATATATATATATATATATATATATATATATATATATATATATATATATATATATATATTCCTTGACTTACGACTGCTTGGACTTATGTCCATCTGTACTTACGACCTGCTCTGACCTTACGACCGTCGGGACATATGACCGCGGCAGTCGTGACCAAAAACATTTTCAAAGGACGTGCGCATTTTCTATACCGAAATGTTTCTGTCCCGGGCGAGAGCGTGGCGGGCTCTGGTCGCCGCGTGGGTACACTCACTCAGTGGAGCGCTTAGTTGGTGTTAGGCTATCGTATCCTATACTGATCGCGCTGTGAACTTTTGTTATTATCGTATTTAATTGACTTTATAATGACTGGAAAGCGTAAAAGTGAGAGTGCTGGTGGTGCTCCAAAGAAAAGGAGACAGGCAATTTCTTTTGAGATGAAAATGAAGACAATAACTCAGCATGAGAATGGAAAAACAGTAGCAACAATCTCAAGTGACCTGGGTTTCTCACACTCGACTATATCCACTATTCTGAAGGACAAGGAATGTATTCATGCTGTAGTGAAAGGAACAACACCTATAAAGGGAACTATAATTTCAAAGAAAAGACAAGGTCCTATTCACGATATGGAAAAATTATTGGTGATATGGATAGAAGACCAGATACAGAAGTGTGTACCCTTAAGCCTTCTAACCTTACAGGCTAAAGCAAGAAGCCTGTTCGAAAGCCTGAAGGAGCAGGCAGGAGATGAATGTGATCACACCTTTACAGGAAGTCATGGGTGGTTTGATAGATTTAAAAAAAATGCTAGTCTACACAATGTTGAGGTGAGTGGAGAGGCAGGTAGTGCTGATGTTGGTGCTGCCGAAGCTTTTAAGGAGGAGTTAGATGAAGTGATTGTGGAAGGGAATTATTTGCCTGAGCAAATATTCAATGTGGATGAGACTGGATTATTGTGGAAGCGCATGCCTAAGCGGACATACAGTTTCAAAGAAGTTAATGAAAATGAAGTTATTTTGGATATTAGTAACAAGATAGTGGAGTTAAGTAAACAGCTGGAGTTAGAAATTGATAATGAAGATTTTGAACAGTTGGCTGAAAGTGCAGCAGAACAGCTCAGTAACGAGGATCTTATTGAACTAGTTGCACAGAAAATTGCAGAGGAAGAAGAGAGACAAAATGTAGTAGAAGAACCTGCACCCCCAAAAAGTTTTCAGTGAAACAAATGGTAGAGTCATTTGCTACAATTAATAAAGGAATGCAAATGTTTGATGGCATGGATCAAAATTATAAGCGTTATGCCAAAGTTGACAGAATGATCCAAGATGCACTTGCTTGCTACAGAGAAATTTATAATGAAAAGAAAAACAAACTGTGCAGTCTAAATTGGACATCTATTTTAAGAAGTCCCCCAGTGCTGTCTTCTCACGCCCCACCAGTGCTGCCTCTTCACTCCCTGAAGATGATCCAATACCTTCAACCAGCAAGTTTCCACAGTACATAAACCTGTCTGAAGAAAGCGACATTGATGACCCACCCAGCCGTGTCTCCTCCTCTGCTTCATCCAATTAATATAGTCTCCATGTATACCTGTAAATAGAAAATTATGGGGGCCCCATGTGCATTCAGCTGACTACATTAAAGGTAAGTGCTCAGTCACACTGTATCCATTCCTCATTATTTATTACTTTTACTGTACTGTATTTCATTGTAGATTTTTTTTTTTTTTTAAATTGAAATTTTAATTTATTTTTTATTTATTTATTTTTATTTTTATTTTTTTATTTATGTCGGACTTACGACCAATCGGACTTACGACCTGGATATGGGTCCCTAACCCCGTCATAAGTCGGGGAGCACCTGTATATGAGAACACATGCTATGCGCATATCATACTTTTTTTTTATGGGGATTAGCCCACCCGGGAATAGGTCACTGACCCACATCGGGGCCTGGGGGGCAAAAATGTAATGATAATAATAATAATTCATAGTAAATACAAAAAAACATGAAAATAAAATAATATAATAATGATACGGTAATAATAATATCACTGTAATAATAATAATAATAATAATAATAATAATAATAATAATAATAATAATAATAAAGAACCATAAAGAAATACAAAAATGAAAGAAAAGATCAAAAGTGAGAAACAAGATATGTATGTTTTGTTGTCAATAGTAAGAGAAACAATTGAGACCCTGCATTTGTGTGTAAATGAGTTAGAAATTCAGATCAGCAACCTGGACCTTGGTCATAATTTTTGTGATGCCAAATGGCAGCAGGGTCTACTATTAGACATTACATTTTGCTTCCAATATCTTCCCAGGCAGTAGTACCTCCCTGTTTGGTAGCTGCCTACTACCTACTTACAGAACAATGTTTAAAATCCCACTATATCATAGCCTAAATCTTTATATTCATCTAAATCACTTAATTTAAGAGAAAAGAAACAATAGAATGAGAAAATACAGTAAATGAAAGTAAAAAAATAAGTCATTAGGTAAATAAAATACTGTAAATTTCAAGTTTAACCTCGCTTGTTTCGGCGGGTGTTCATAAGTCGGATGTTTGTAAGTTGGGGACCCCTGTAGTGGGTTTGTTTAGGTTGGGTTGGGTTAGGTCTGGTTGAGTGGTATTAGGCTAAGTTATGCTTGGTTGTGTTTTGTTGGGTCAGGCTTGATCATATTTGGGTGTGATTAGGTTAGACCTGGTTGGGTTGGGATATACTGTATTTGGTTTGGTTGGGTTGGGATATACTGTATTTGGTTTGGTTGGGTTGGGTAAAGTTAGGTTTAGTTAGGTTGGGTTTGGTTGGGTTGAGTAAGTTAAATTGGTCAAATTAGGTTTGGTTGGATTGTGTGAAGTTAAATTTGGTTCATGTTATGTTGTTTCTTGTAGGGTGTGGAGAATGTGCACAGATGTATGCCCATGAGTGTCCTCAACATCACCTACAAGATGAAACTGCTAAACCTGTCAAGACCAGAGGTTGGACATCTTTACCCACCCAGCATCTGGTGATACCCAAGATTCCAGATACCGAGGGTAAAATTCAGGGTATTTCTGATTTCTGATTTGTGTCTCCTTTATTTTTAGCTCAGCCAGTGGCTTTATGACTTAAAGTCTTGTCTTCAAATAGCTCACACTTAATGTCATCACAATATTCTCTGCCAGTTTATTTCAAGAGTTCACAACTCTTGTTCCCCCCAAATTAGCTTTAACAATTTTCTATACAGGTGGCTATTTTAAGTTTAGGATAGGAAACTTGATTGAATAATATCCTTAGAAATGCTTAAGCTTCTATTAAATTACCTTTTGCCGGTTTATAATATAAACTAGGCAGATAAAGGCATTCTATGCTTTCTTGTTACATAAAGTACATACTTAAAGCTCTTCTAGTTAAAGAGAGATTGGTAATTTAATATCTATCTGCTCTAATTTATTTAGAATAATATTTTTTTCATGTTGTAATTCTGACATACAGTAGAAACTTAGATTTCCACAAAAGATAAATCAGGAGGTCTTAGAAGTGAAATTGGGACCATCAGTCCTGATGGACTGTTAGGGGCACTACTAATACAGTACAGCACACTGTAGACTGTGTTTTATACACAAGGACAGGGGTAGGAATTCGTCCTTTTTCAGGTAGCCAGCTGGGCTAATAAAACCGAATAGTTACTGGCCCTTCCCAAAGTTTATTAGCCCTTCCAAAATTTTACGAGACATTAAAATTTTTTTTTTACAATTTCAGTACAGTTAACCCTCACTTTACGCGGTTAATGTAACCCGGAGGGTACCGCGGAAAGCGAGAAACGCGTAAAGTGAATAACATAACATATGGGATTAATTGAAATGGAGTCCAGGCCGATCCCCAAACTCCACTTTTTGACGACACATAACTATGTTGTAGTAAAAATAACATCTTAATTTTATGATGGTACATGCACACAATTAATACTTAAGAGAAATAGAGAAATACAGTCGCCAAGTTAATGTCCATTCAAATAATGGACACGACTCCCTCCCCCTCTTCTCACACTACACTGCTGGCTCTTCCCTCTGAGAAATTTTTGGGGGAAAACCAGGTATAGTAATAAATAATACCTCAAACTAAAGTTAGGATAATATAATTGACATTGCTGGATTCCTTGTAAGACCAGGAATATTTTGAATATAAATGTCATATATTTTTCACAAAAGATAACATATTTACTCAGATTAAACATTACATCTAAAATTTGTATGTCTAATGCAAAATCTATGATGTTTATATTCAAAATGATCATCAAATTGTAAGAATTCCAGCAATGTAAATTATATTCTGGCTGGGTAATTTGTATGAATTTTATGAGCTAAAACAAATATCTTCAGTTAATTAAAAAAAAAAATATTCTTCACGACACTATCTGTCAATCAAAGTACCCCACCTTGCCTCCCCCCCTCTTCCAACCGCGCGGTCAGTCCCAAACCCTCCCCCCCACCCCCCACCAATCCTCCATTCAAGAGAAAGAGTGGGTGAAAAAAATAAATTTTAACATTTTGTATTAAATAATACCTCAGATTAAAGTTAGGATAATATAATTGACATTGCTGGATTCCTTGTAAGACCAGGAATATTTTGAATATAAACGTCATATATTTTGCACAAAAGATAACATACTTACTCAGAGTGAACATTATATCTAAAAATTTTATGTCTAATGCAAAATATATGATGTTTATATTCAAAATGATCATCAAATTGTAAGAATTCCAGCAATGTAAATTATATTCTGGCCGGGTAATTTGTATGAATTTTATGAGCTAAAATAAAAATCTTCAGTTAATAAAAAAAAAAATATTCTTCACACGGTAACAGATGGTCGGTCGCCGGTCCCTCCCTCCCTCCCCCCCCCACCAACGTCCCTACTAGATAAATGTGTGGGAATACCAGACTGTTTACCTTTTTAGTAATAAATAATAAATCAGACTAAAGTTAGGATAATATAATTGACATTGCTGGATTCCTTGTAAGACCAGGAATATTTTGAATATAAATATCATATATTTTGCACAAAAGATAACATATTTACTCAAGAGTAAACATTATATCTAAAATTTGTATGTCTAATGCAAAATCTATGATGTTTATATTCAAAATGATCATCAAATTGTAAGAATTCCAGCAATGTAAATTATATTCTGGCCGGATAATTTGTATGAATTTTATGAGCTAAATAAAAAAATTATACTTCACCAGTGTAAAGGGGTACACCCACCGCGGAATGTGAGCATCCTGGGTTCTGGCAGGGCACCGCGTAAACGTGGAAACGCGGAATGTGGGACCGCGTAAAGTGAGGGTTGACTGTACTTGACATAAATAGTGGTCCCTCGGTTAACGAACGGTTCGATTAACGAAATCCTTATGACAAACACGTTTTGTTGTGAGCATCTGCTGATCAGTTGATTGGCTAGTCCGCCAATACTGTAATCTGTTCTATGTTTACATTCCTTTCCAGTGGAATAAATATCAAGAAGGTTGTGTTCCTGAATATTTTTGCATTTTTTATATTAAAATTATTGGTCATTCTAAAATTTAGCCATCCAAGCTCTGTCTACATAAAGTTTTTCAACTAATATTTTTGGCTCGATATATGTAACTTTATTCATTTATTGAAACTCATTTACATGCACACACTGTCCTAAGGGCAAAGCTGTACGCTACATGTAATCAAAATACAGTGATCCCTCGGTTAACGAACACCTCGGTTAACAAAATTTCGGCTAACGAATTACCTTCCATAAGAATATTAAATTCAGTTAACGAAAAAAATTCGGTTTACAAATTCCTTACAAATTTTCATGTTTTCGCCTGCTCACCAGCTGTAGTATTAGTCCGCCAAGACAGTAATCGGTTTTAGGGCTTAAATTCGCTACCATTTGAGTAAATATAAAAAAGGTTGCACTATTCAATAATTTTCCAAGTCTTATATTAAATTTTTTAGTAATTTTAACAATTATTTAACATAATTGAAGTACAGGTAACTAGTTTTTAGCACACCAAACAGCTACTTGAATCACCCAGAATGGTGTCAGTTTGTGTGTCTGCTCAGTGGAGGAAGCATCTCGCTTGAGACTCTCTTGAACATAAACTATTTTTACGTTTTTACAGTACAATTATTGGTCATTCTGAAATTTATTTTACATATTGACAATATATAGTGCAGTGCAGTGTTGATTTATTGATTTAAAGAAAATAATCTTGAATTACACCAAGTGAACTAAAAATTTTATGGGTGAAATGGCAGCATGAAGCATGGGGTGATTTCTCTTCCACTCCACTGCCTTCTCTTCTCCCTTCTCCTCCACCCCCACTTCTAATTCCCATCATCATCAACCAGGAGCCTTCTACTTGCACACCTCAAAGTAAGTGTACTTTACTGCATTTATTTTTAGTTTGTATGTAATTTTCGGTGAGCTGGAACCATTTACCCAAAATCCCATTGAAACAATGGTTTCGGTTAACAAAATTTTCAGTTAGCGAACGGAACTTCTGGAACGAATTGTGTTCATTAACCGAGGGATCACTGTGTGTATATATATATATATATATATATATATATATATATATATATATATATATATATATATATATATATATATATATATATATATATATATATATATATATATATATATATATATATATATATATATATATATATATATATATATATATATATATATATATATATATATATATACATATATATATATATATATATATATACATATATATATATATACATATATATATATATATATATATATATATATATATATATATATATATATGTATATATATATATATATACAGTTTACGGTTTTTCATATGACGTTTTTACCATATACATGTGCCTTGCCAAAGCTGAACTTTCATAACGCAGTTTTTTCCAAAATATACGTGATGAGTGTCGAACCCTATTTTAGATTTGCCCACCGCCACCCTGCCTACTCTTTAGCTCATAAAATTCATACAAATTACAGGCCAGAATATAATTTACATTGCGAATTCTTATAATTTGGTGATCATTTTGAATATAAACATCATATATTTTGCTTTAAACTTACAATTTTAGATAAAATTTTCTCTAGAGTAACTATGGTATCTTTTGTGCAAAATATATGACATTTATCAAATATTCCTAGTCTTACAAGGAATAATGTCAATTATATTATCTAACTTTAGTTTGAGGTATTATTTATTAAAATTTAGTGGTTATCCCACATCTCCTTGGGACGGTTGGTGGGGGTGGGGGAGGAGGGACCAACCGACCATCTTTTACCCTGAAGAATTATTATTTTTTTATTAACTGAAGATATTTGTTTTAGCTCAAAATTCATACAAATTATCCGGTCAGAATATAATTTACATTGCTGGAATTCTTATAATTTGGTGATCATTTTGAATATAAACATCATAGATTTTGCTTTAAACTTACAATTTTTAGATAAAAATTTTTCTCTTAGGTAACTATGGTATCTTTTGTGCAAAATATATGACATTTATATTCAAAATATTCCTGGTCTTACAAAGATCCAGCAATGTCAATTATATTATCCTAACTTTAATCTGAGGTATTATTTAATATTAAATGTTAAAAACTCTGGAAGGGAGGATTGGTGGGGGTGGGGGGAGGTTGGGACTGACCCGCGATTTGGAGAGAGCAGGTGGGTACTTTGATTGACAGATAGTGTAAATTGATTTTTTTTTATTAACTGAAGATATTTGTTTTAGCTCATAAAATTCATACAAATTACCGGTCAGAATATAATTTACATTGCTGGAATTCTTATAATTTGGTGATCATTTTGAATATAAACATCATATATTTTGCTTTAAACTTACAATTTTAGATAAAAATTTTCTCTAGGTAACATGGTATCTTTTGTGCAAAATATATGACATTTATATTCAAAATATTCCTGGTCTTACAAGGAATTCAGCAATGTCAATTATAATATCTAACTTTAGTTTGAGGTATTATTTATTAAATTTAGTGGTTATCCACATCTCC